GCAATCCCTCTTCTGGGTATCTACCCAAAACATCTGAAAACATTTATCCGTAAAGATATATGTACTCCAATGTTTACTGCAGCATTATTCACAGTGGCCAAGAAATGGAAACAACCAAAGTATCCTTTTTCCAAAGTATCCTTTGATAGATGATTGGATAAAGAAGATGGGGTACGTATACACAGTGGAATTATTACTTGGCCATAAGAAAAGATGAAATACTGCCATTTGCAACAACATGAATGGATCTTGAGATTATCTTACTAAGTGAAATAAGTCAGAAAAAGTCAAGAACCATATGACTTCACTTATATATGGGATATAACACTGAAAGCAACAAAGGAACAAGACAAACAAAAGAAACAAAAAATCACAGACACAGACAACAGTTTAGTGGTTACCAGAGAGTAAGGTGGGAGGGGGATGGTAGAAGAGGGAAAAGGGGGTGAAATATATGGTGATGGAAGGAGAACTGACTCTGGGTGGTGAACACAGAATGTAATATATAGATTATGTATTATAGAAATGTATACTTGAAACCTGTATAATTTTCCTAACCAATGTCACCCCAATAAATTAAATAAATAAAATCAAATTAAAAATAGAACTACCATATGACCCAGCAATTCTACTTCTGGGCATTTATCTGAAGAAATTCAAAACACTAATTCAAAAGGATACATGCACCCTATGCTCACTGTAGCATTATTTACAATAGCCAAAATATAGAAGCACCCTAAGTGTCCATTGATAGACGATTAGAGAAAGAAGAGGTGGTATATACATACAATGGAACAAAAATAATGAAATCTTACCATTTGTGACAACATGGATGGACCTAGAGGGTATTATACTAAGTGAACTAAGTCAGACAGATAAAGGCAAATGTCATATGATTTCACATATGTGGAACCTAAAAAACAAAATAAAACAGAAAAAAACTCAGAGATACAGAGAACAAACTGATGGTTGCCAGATTGGAAGGGGTTTGGGAGTTGGGTATAAAAGGTGAAAGAAACTAAGAAGTACAATTTGCAAGTTATAAAAATCACCACGGGGATGTAAAGTACAGCATAGGGAACACAGTCAACAATATTGTAATAACTATGTATAGTGTCAGATGGGTACTAGACTTACCAGGGTGATCACTTTTTAAATTATACAAATGTCTAATCATTATGTTCTACACCTGAATATAATATTGTATGTAATATTGTCATTGAAAAATAAACTTTAAAAATTCAATGAGAAAAGATTATCGTAATAGAAAAGTGCAAAGTGTATGAACAGGAAATTCATGGAAAGGAAAATATAAGTGGCCAATAAACATGCATACAGACAATCAAATTAAAACAATGTGTTATCATGAATAAAAAAGATATGTACAAAAAATACAGCTAACATCACACTTATGGTAGCATACTGAACACTTTTACTCTCATGTCAGGCAAGATGTCCTGTATCATCAATTTTAGTCAGCATTAGATGGAAGGTCTTAGTGCAATTAGGTAAGAACAACCAAAAAGGGATAACGATTAGAAAGAAAAATGTGAAATTATCATTATTTGTAAATAACTGATATGTAGATAAAAAATCTCAAAAACTATAGAAATAATTATAATTGATATTACATTTCAGCAAATTTGTGTGCCAAAATGTCAATATACAAAACCTATATTTCTGTACACTATCAACAAAACATTAGAAATAATACTATAAGAACAACATCATATTCAGTTGCACTAACATTCATAAAGTACCTAGGAATGAATCTAACTAAAGTTGTACAAAATCTGTATACTAAAATCTATTTAAAAATTCCTGAGAAAAATGTAAAAAGATAAATAAATGCAGAGATATATCATATTCATAGGTTAGAATAAAAACCTAAATTTTCCCAAAGTTGATTTAGGGGTTCAATTGAATCCCAACCAGTATTTCAGGAAGATTTTTGTATAAATTAGATATCTGATCCTTAAGTTATATGGAACCCCTTTTGAAGAAGAATAAAGTTGAAACTTCTGTTTACTTGAATACACCAACCATCAAGAGAGCCACCAACCAGGAAAGAATATTTGATTTGCACCATATATATCTGACAAAGGACTCATATCCAGAACGTGTAAATAACTTTTATAAATCACTAAGGAAAAGGAACAACAAGACATGGGCTTGAATGGGAATTTACAAAAGAGGATAATCCAAATGACCATCAGCATATGAAAAGGTGCCTAGCACCATTAGTTGCCATGAAATTTCAAATTAAAACCATGATGAGATACTATTATACTATATACTGACCAGGATGGCTAAAATTTTAAAAAGGGCTGACCCTATCAAGTTTTAGTGAGCATGTGGAATAACTAAAGCTTATGCTGCTAGTTGGAGTGTAAATTGATACAACCCAGTTTTGAAAACTGTTTGTAAGTGTCTGCTGAACATTAACAAGTGTATATCTATGACCTAGTAACTACATTCCTATGTAAGTTCCCTGCAGAAATCTGTACATAGACTGACCAAAACACAGGTAACCAAAATGTTCATTTGCAAAAGCCCACACCTAGAAACAATCCATGTGTCTATCGCCAGTAGAATGCATTGATATATAATGGTGCATTCCTATTTTCAGGAGCCTAGAAGATCTGCAAACTCACACAATAGTTCATCTATTGCCACACTGAGGCCTGCACTCCCACAGGTAAACTTACCTTTTTTCAACTCCAGCTTGACAGATGTTTTGTGCCTATTAAAATGCATCTGTCTAGCACATTAACCCTTAGCAGTTCCTAGAAGTACATTTCATGATATGGGAGAAGTTGGAGGGATTGGCGGGAGTGGGGGTGGTGGTATGCGGAGCAGAGGAGAAAGTTGGGGAGTGTCTGGGAGTGGAAATGTAAAAAAAAATATGAGTAAGGAAAGATGGGAGTAGGTATCAAAGACAAACTCGGTCTGTTTCATAATGTTGCTTCAGGTACACATTCTAGGAATACTATAGAACAATGACCATGAAGACCTACTCAACATATGGAATGAAAGAAGTCGTTTACAAGAGAGTATGTAGTATACAATTCCATATATGTGGAGATCAAAAAAGGCAAGATTAATGTATGGTGTTAAAGGTCCAGAAAGTGGTTAGGGAAGGTGTTATGACTGGGATAGGGGACAAAGGAGCCTTCTTTGATAACTGATAATACTCTGTTCCTTGATCTATTGTAGAATGCAGGATCGCAAACATTTTCTGTCAAGAGCCAGACAATAAATATTTCAGACTTTTCAGGCTATATAATTTCTGTCACAACTACTCAACTCAGCTGTTGTAATGCAAAAGCAACTACAGGTAGTATGTAAAGAAATGGGTGTTTTTCTGTACCAATGAAATGTTACTTATGAAAACAGGCAGTGGATTGGATTGGGCCCGTGGGCAGTAGTTTGTAAATCCCTCACCTACCTATATAGATTGGTTACATTTGTGTGTAAATTTGTGAAAATTCATTGATCTGTACACTTATGATTTATATATTTTTCTCACTATATATTATACTTCCATGAATACATTTTTAAAAATATAACAAAACAGAAAATCATTAAGAAATAGCAAAACAACAAGAACAGAAATAAGCAGTTAGAATTCACTAAGACTTGTTTCTTGCTGCCAAGATACTACAATATTTGAAGCACTACAATTCTAGCCATGTAAAAGCTTCATTGCAAGCACTCAAAAACCAACATTATTTGTTCATTTCCTTCTTTATGGGAGAAGAGTCCATTAGGAGACCTCAAAGTGGTTAATTCTATTAATGAATTCCCTTTATTAAACTTGACTATTAATGCCCAAATTGATTTCTTTTCCAAGTTATATACTTCTGCCATTTTATAATGGAAACTCTAAAAACATCAGTAGGTACGTAGGACATAAGCAATCTAAGAAACAGTAAGCATCAATTCTACTTCTCCTTTAATTTTCAGATTTGCCCAGGAAGAACTGCTTACTATGTTCTAAATGTTCTAAAATATTCTAAAACTTACACATAATTAAAAAAAAACTATACATACTCAATATATCTGCTAAGGTGTTTTGTTAGCTTTTCTCCCCTGGGAGATAAGAAGAATAGAAAAATAATAATGCAATAAGATAACATGTACCAAGTACATCCTAGAACCAAGCATTGTCCTAAGCCCTTTCTATGCATTATCTCATTTAATCCACACACAGACCCTATGAAGTGGTTACTCTTATTATCCTCACTTTAGAAATGAGGAAATTGAGGCAAAGAGAGACTAAGTAATTGCCCAAGATTTCACGGTTAGTAAATTATAGGGCTGGGATTTGAACCCCGGTAATCTGTTTCCAAACCCCAAGCTCTTAGTTACATGCAAAGATAAATAGCTTGGGTTTGCTTACAGAGAAATCTGATTCCTTAAAATGTAGCACAGCTTAAGCGTTCCTAGCTTCCTGTCAACCCCCTCTAAGAGAAACAACCATCCCCACTATCCCCGCTACCGAGTCATTATAGCATCTTATGAAACTTTATTATACTTACTCTTTATATCTCTGCCTTCCCCCCCAACCCCCATAGCCTACGTACTCTTTGAAAGCTAGGACTTTGTTTTATTCCTTCCTGTCTCTCTAGGGCCAAGCGTAGTATCTGCCTGGACATAACGTGGCTCAATACATGTCTGCTGACGGCATCCATCACGTCATGAGTGATAACTCCTTTTATCTTTGGTTCATCAAGTTTTCCAACTCATTTTTGTTTTCTGGTGATTTATCACAAGGGACAGAACACAGCATCATGACGAGTTCGATGTGACTGTAGGCTTTTGCCACCATCTCTATGGGTTGAGCGTCTTAAAGCAAGACACTGCTTCCTTTGCCTTTAGCTCAAGAACGCCCACACATCGACGGCCTAGATGACAACTGATGTTTGTTTAGCTGAATGTAGCTAGAGATCTAGAATTTGCATTTATGATAAACAGGAGAAAGTAGAATATTTCCATACTCATTTCTAAGTACTCGTCAAAGAGTCCGTAGGCATTCATCGGCTGGAGGTTGTAGTCCTTCTCCCACTGTGGGAGTCTTATTTTCCTTTCTGGCCCGTGCTCTTGCCGCACTTTTCTTCTCGTCCACCAGTTCTGAATTAACCTGCATGACAAGGTCAGTTGATTTAAAAAAATACATATAACTGTTCATAAGACTCAAGTAGTAAGAAATAGAGGGAGTTGGAATATAGAATCATAGTTTAAAACACACTTAGGACAGGCTGCCAAGGAGAGAAAGCCTTACATTAGGAAGAAAATCCCAGGGGAGGCTATACTTCAAGTATTTGTGCTTCCAAGTGAACAGAATGATTGATGAGCTTATTTTAAGCATTCATGAAACTGTCTCATGTGCAGTGCTGCCTACAAGGGTCGGATAGAGAACTGAGAATATCTATGCACCCACCCCACCAGTACAATGGCAATACCCAAATATCTGAAAAGAGGAAGATTTTGTCTAACAGGCTTAATTTAGGATGAATGAGTAGTCTTCCCACATGGGTTCCAATCTGCATATTCTGACTTGGGGGTGCCTAGAAGATCTGCAAACCCACACACGCTTTCTTTCTTGGCACACTGAAGCCAGCAGCTCCACAACTGGGCTTGTCTGCTTTGGGCTGGAGCTTGGCAGGGGCTCTGATCCCAGTAAAAGGCATCTCACACCAGGGAGGTCAGTGGTGTTCAGGGGAGCATCTTAGGACATGGAACAGAGTTGAGGAAATGGGGGGGAGGGGAGAGAAAAGAGCTCTGTGTGCTGTAGGGATAAGGGAAAAGTGAAGAGTTTCTGGGAGTAGAAGGGCCCAAAAAACCAAACAAATGTGAAATGACAGAAATAAGGGGATACTTATCAAGGACAAACTCTGCCTACTTCACAATTTGCTCTACATCCGTATCACTAGAAGATAAAAGACAGCTTCTTTGATGGCTATGACATTTTGCTAAGTTACGGTTCATTCTTTAAAGTAGAATATAATGCTTCTAATTGTTTAATTTTATGCTTTAAACAGTTCTGGAGAAAACATCAAACACTTGGAATAAGTTTTCTAACAATAAATCTAAGAAGAGGAAATTCCTGGTATTAGTTCTGACAGGGAGCTAAGAGATGAATTTTCAAAGTGAACCAAGTTCTGGCTAATTTTTCTGGCTGATTGGTCCTCCCTGAAACCCGTTGTCTATAGAGACACCAAGCAGACACGGAAACCAGTAGGTGTGGAATTAAAACAGAAATAGAAGTGTTGCTGATTTTCATCCCTTTAAATCTTAACTGACCAGAGGTAAGCAAACACAGCAGGTTTCAGGGTAGTCCTTACAGAGGTGATGCCAAGTTTTTGCCCATTGTCAACAATAGAAACCATTATAACATTTTTACTGGTTAAGATATGATGACTTCGAAATACTCTGGTTTCTTTTCTGAATCCCTACATTTTTCTCCTTTCCAGAAGTTTCTTTTCTGTACAGTCTGAATTTAAGGTAGTTAAAAAAATTACCATTCCTGATTTATCTCAGAGATGGTGGGGTAGAGACCTTGTTAATATATTACAGAGATTTACAATGCTGGAGCGTAAAGGGTCAGAGACATCATTTAAAGCAGCTTGCATGCAAGTACCCAATATTCAGGGGCCCGGTGAACTTCTTATAGACTATCCCCTTTTGTTCTTGTGACTTGTGCTAAGTCTTCCAAAAAGAGCCAAAGTTCATTATGTTCGCGAGCGTCTTTGAATATCTGAGCATGAACATTATTAGCTCCAGGTATACTCGTACACACTGGCTTAGCTGCTGGGTCTGCATTGCTTATCTTACTTGCCACACCTGGAAAAGCCAATAACAAGCCGTGCTGCTTCTCAACTACAGATATCGAATGTACTTACGGGTAGCCAAGTTCCATGAAATTATTCCAGGTCTGCTTTAGCACCATTATAATACCCATTTGCATACAGAGATCAATAAGGCATCCACTAGGGTGGCACTGCGAGGTAAGCAAACACAGAAATTCAAGAATCAATGGAGAGGAAGAAAGGGTGTCTGGTTTCTAATCTGCACAAAGTTGCCCTAAGGCTGTTTAAGGCAAGTCTGTAGGAAACAGGGAATGATGGGAGAATACAGACCTCTTCTAGTCTCCACCTGTTTATCAGCCTCAAGTAGGCACCTGGGTGTCCTGTAAATCTTCAACACACACAGAAAAACAAACCATTAGCATCCTATAAGTCTAAGCTTCCAGGGACTATTACATTCAGATTAGCATATCTCCCAATGGAAACGACTGGCACGTTAAGCATCAGGTCTGAGGAAATTAGGAAACTCTCCAGAGCTGTCATAACTGCAGCGTTTGGAATTCTCCCAGCGATATGTCTCTTTGGCCTTTCTATCTGGCTGCCGACTGCAGGGGCCAGTTGCTTACTGTGACTTGAACATTTTCTGCTGAATATCAAGTGCTCTGGCCTGTGGAAGCAGCATGTTGGTTTGAAACCTACTCTGATCTTTTTGAATAATAGCAGTTACTTTTTTTTTTTAATTAAACTGTTTGACTAGAATTCCACGCTGAAGTAGCTAAATACTGAAGAGAGGCTGCTGCATCCATCTGACCAAAACCCAATCCTCGGCCCATCCTTGGCTGTCATCTGCTCAGAAACGCTTCCTGGAGTGACGGGATTCATGGGACACGACCACTGAACATGGCATCCTTTCCAAATCCTCCTCACTGCTGGATTTGGAAGCTACCCAGTCTGCGCCGGCATCCATCCTATGTCAGCCCCCTTTCCATCTGGATGTACTTCCCTCGTCTGTGAAGTTGGGGTCTATGACATGCTGCAGCCCTTCCCCCCACCCCATTCCACCTGCTCATACAGGTGTGAGATCTGGGGACTTGATTCAGGTGCCGACAGGAGTCTACATCCTTCACACATGCAAATGATTTTCCTTCATGTGCCTCTTAGCAAGAAAACGTGTACAGATACTTTAGACTATTTCCTGAGACGCAAATGGGAAGGAAAAGGAGGAGGCTGATCTTGTCTTTTTATACTTTGTAAAAGTCATTCTAAAGGAGGGACTTCCCTGTCCCCCCCTGGTCAGTGACCTCTGAGTGTTCTGTCCTCAGTCCGGGGAGTGTGGAGACATCGGGTTCTTACCTTCCGAGGAAGAATGCAATGTAAAACGTGGAGCTGTTCAGATTGACAAACTGAAAAAGAAACATTTTCAGGGTGAAGCTGTTCTCCCATTCGGACTCTGTGCGAGGCTGTTCTGTGGATAAAAGGGGAACAGAGTTTGAAAGGCTGCATCCGATCCCCTCTCAACTCCCTGTATGGGCAGTGTCCCGCTGCCCATACACACAGGCTGCGGGAGAGCCCAGTTTGCCTGAGGTGGCATGAGAGAAGTGGATCACCCCTGGGACCCTCAGGCGGGTAGAGCAGCCCCGACAGGGTTTGGCGGGAAGTGACTACTGGCTTGTCCGAGGGGACAGACTATCCAGTTTGTTCCACTGTTACAGGGTGTCCAGAGTCTGCAGTAGAGACAGCCAGGCTGAAGGGGCCTCATTCCCAGTCCTGGCTCCCTGCAGAGGTCTCTGCTTTTGCTCATTTCTGCCTGTGGGTGGGGCATGTGCGGGGTCAGGCCCCTCCCAGCTGCTAATAATTCCTCCGTGAAATACCAGGTGCTTCAAAGTGAGAGGGAGTCACAGCCCCATCTCAGAATGTGACTTCCTTACTGGTCTCCCTCAGCTGCCATTTTTCATTCTCATGGACAAATGCCGAGGGGATGACCTCACCCTTTAGAGCTTTTACTGGGTATCACCATCTGTGTCTTACAATTTCCTGACTCAGTCAGGCACCGATCCTTATACTTCAACTTCCATAATGCAAATGCTCTTGGGATGTTGCGATATGAACCAAAATATGGACCAAACCTCCAACTTGACATCGCATGTCAAATGCACTTATCCTTCCCCAGGAGCTGTGTCTTCACCCCAAGCAATGTCAAAGAAAATGTATTTAATGCAACAGCACTTTCTCTGTTTCTACATCCCCTGAGTTTCTAATTGCTCATTTACCATTTCAATCCATCAATTCCTTTTCCACAAATTGTAACTCAAAATGTTTCCTGGGAGCATATCAGAAAAGGGAGGGGAGGAAGAAAGAGAATCTGATTTAAAATAGTTTAAATGTCAATTTCAGAACAAGGCTGCACTGCTATTGAGGGAAGAAAAGAAAAAGGATTCTTAAAGGGTTTTAGCTTTATTTCATTTCTACCGAACTCCTAGTTACATAGGAAGGTCTCCCAGGTTGTCAGCCAGCTGGGTGTGTTCCCAGGTGTCCCAAACATAGATGGACCATGGCTGTATCTCCACTGGTGTCTTTGCCAGCCTGGATCAGGGCACCACTGGGCACAGACTACCAATGCACAATTACTTCTTCTGTGGACATAAACCTCTTTCTATCTATTTGGCAAGGGATGGTAGCGATGGAAGATTTCAATAACATTAAAGGAGATATGCCAATGCCTAGCTTCTGTGTAACAGAAGGGCTCAATAAATAGCACCTTGCATTATAACTAATATTATAAATAAAAACACTTTTGTGATTTCCAACCCCCCCTTCTGGACAATCTACATAATGGCTTGCACTAAAGCAGGTTATGTAAAACAGGGAGCATGTAATTTCCTCAAACTGCATAGAATGAAATGACTACTTTCTCAATAATAAAACTGTGACACTTTCTATACCTTGAAAGGGTGGAAAATGCACGGCGTATAGCTGGCTACCAGATTACTCCAGTCAGAGCAATGTTCTTAAGGGTGAGTCGTCCATATGAATGCTATTTCAACCAATGTCCGTGATGGTTAGCCTGCCTACATTCCTGGTAGAAGTCTCCAGTGTTCAAAGCCACTAGCTTTGCTGTGACTTTATACACCGTGAAAACCTGATACATTTTTAAATAAATAAAGATTGTGGGCAGTGGCAAATGAATACTTTCCTAAATGATTCTGGGCACTTTATACAATGTACTTCTGCGATGCTTTATTTTTTGTGTGTTGAGAAAAAAACCTACTTTAAATTACATTAACTCATGATGTTTGTGAAAGTTTCAAAGCCTGAGGTAGAAAAGCTCCCCTGATTATTAGGCATATTTAAATGTCCGGTTGAGGGCAAAGAACAAATTGTTGTATGTAATTCAAAGGGAATATTTCTTTTCAGCAGTGTTTTGGAAATGAATCTTAGAAAAGGTACTTTCCAGATTACAAAACTGTACCATGAACTAAAAAGGGTTTCACTTACCTAAATTTGTCAGAAGAAGCGCAACTTTTTCATAGAGCTGTAAAATAAATTTCATACATTTAACAAACGAACTGTAGATGTTCTAAAATCTGTCATTATACATGAAATAGATAATCAAGTCATGAGTGAAAATGATTTCATTATCCATCCATTGCTCAAACAATGAAAATAATGTGAACGACTGTATCCTTTTAGGGCAAGGAAGAAACGTCCAAGGTCCCATTTTACTACTTTAAAAATCTCACTTCTCATTTTGGAGTAACTCTGTGACGACAGGGCTACTAATCACCAGCTTGCTAAGTGATGCTGGACAAGTCACAGCATTCCTGGGCCTCAGCATCCTCAATGTAAAATCTCAAAGACTGCTTCTGGTGGTAAGATTCTGTAAGCCTTATTGCTTAGGGACTGCTGGACGTTCTACGTGATAGCATTCTTAAACACTGAAGTGATCTAACATTACTGGGACCCCCCAAGCTTATGATATTCTGCTTCTCCATTATTGCACAGGATACATCCTTAATCTCACCTATCATCTGCTAAATGGAGGGTCCTAAAAGAGAAGGAAAAGGTGTGTGTCTGTGTGTGCATGTGCACGTGCGTCTGTGCGTGCTTGTGTGTATGGAACTGTAGGGTGTACAGCTCAGGGCCTACTCAGCTCTAGATTTCCCCAGAGAGGGTATAAATTGAGAAAAAGAACAAGTGCCTTATCTAACGTGAAAGATGATAAATGAAAATCAAAAGGAAAACTGGTCAAATCGATTTGAATAATATGCAAATGAAGATCACATTTCAACTAAAGTGGTGAAAATGCACTGGTTATAATTCCCCCAACTGGAATTATAACTGTACCAGCCAATAAACTGTAGGGCTTGGGCACACTACCTCACTTTTTCTTCAGAGCATCGTTTTCCTTTTTATATGTAGTTGAGAATGGGTATTGGACTCATCAATCTTAAGGTCCTTCCTAACTTCTGAATTATCTTTTCCAAGATGCTATCTACAGAAACAGGCAAAATACTCAGATTTTATGACACTAAACTTTCAGCAATGACTATGGTTTGCTATGGTAAAATATAATTAATATGGCCACAGTATCAGATTTTGTGTATAAAACCTTAGACTTGTGGAGTCCAATGTTAAAAGACATTGGTATAATTTTCAATAAGAAATCCTGTGGAATAGATTAATCATAAATTTTATCTTAATAATAAAATACTGGTAAACAACAGATTAACATGTTTTAATCAAATATATTTTACTATTATAAACATATTGTATCATTCAAGTTATTTAATTATCAAGGAAAATTAGGTTTGACTGGTGAGACAACCTTTTTCAAAAATACAGTGTTCGGTTACCCAGTTGATCCTTTATATCTTTCACGTTGACAGACATTTGTCAAAGTGCCTCACTTTGCATACTTGTCTCAAAGGTCTTGTGAGCTGGTGACATGGCCAATGTTATTTTGGTTTGGACACTGAAAAAAATGGAATTTATAAAAAGAACAGCACAGGAGTTGAAATATGATTAATATTAACCTTCTGAAAAATAAGTGTATGGGGACAAAGTGTATGGCAACTGTGAACACTTTATATGTAAATTGAAGACACATGGAGATGGACTGTGAGGCTTTGAGTAGGATACAGCAGGAACAGGACAAAAACAGAGACTGATGGTTGGCAACAGATCCTCAGATGAGTGGTTTCTGGGGTGTGATTTCTCATTAGGCAGTTGAGATAGAAACCATGAATGGTTTGTTCTGATAAGGCAGTGGAAAATCTGTTTCCCAACTGAATGGGACAAATTGTGAATGTTAAAATCTGTAACTGATGGAAAGCTTTCTGATCTTAAGTGTATTTCCAAAAGAAGCTTCTAATTAGAGTACTTATAATTCAATTTTGTTCTCCTGATCAACGTATCTGAGCTTGTCTGATGCAAGCCGTATTCTATGGTTTACTTCCTTTTGGAATAAGGCATTGTGGTTTTCACTGTTTACAGTATAGTGAAATATCTGACTCATATTGGTGTGGCTGAATGAAAAATATGGTAATAACTTTTAGTCTCCTCCTGGGATATATCCTTTGTTGATATCGTTAGCTTGCAACCATCATATTGAGATGTTCTTTGGTTGCTAGTGAATGGAATTAAAACAGTATGACAAGTAGCAAGAATATCCACCCTATTCATTCCATCTTTGAAGTATTTATTTTATTTATTTATTGAAGTATTAATTTTTTAAGAAAAGAAATAAAATGAAAACTAGTAAGTGCCCCTTAACCGGTCATCAAGAGGCATAATATTTTGCTAGGATCCAGAATACTTTTGTAAAACAATATGAATTCTATTTTTAAATTATACACCAAGTAAGAGAAAATACACATCCTGAAATCTAAAAGTAGGCATTCCTTATAGGTCTGCTTCTTCAGTCAGCATTGGACAACTCTAGCAAAAAGTCAGAAACAGGTATGTGATCTATAACAATTGATATTATTTAAAAATTAGAGGCTTTAGTAAACATAAATTAAAAACCAATCTAGGGCCTGCCGAGTGGCTCAGTTGGTTAAGAGCTTGCTCAAGAGTGTGAGCTCTGAGCACCAGGGTTGCCGGTTCAATTCCCAGCCTGAGCTGAGCTGCTGCTGAGCTGCTGCTGAGCTGCCAACAGGTGGTAGGAGGGCTCAGCTAAAAATAAAAAATAAAAAAACATAAAAAAGAATAAAAACCAATCTAGCTCTCAAGGTTTTTATGTTCAACTTATGAAAAAGTATTAATGATTAATGCATAAATGATCATTTTTGCAAGACCAATATGGCCAAAATTTTAAGTAGCTGAAAACAATTTTATAGCTATAAAAAATTATATTATTGGGTCATGAAAATGTCTGAATTGAATAATTTCAGAAGTTAGTAGAGAGTTCAGTTCTAAACTGGACAAAGCTATGTTACAGTCACTAGTCTGTTATCGGTCCTTTATGTGATATTTGCTTTTCAAGGACTTTTTTTTAGATATTCTGATGAAAATCTTTCCAAACTATATTACACACTTGGTGGCCTTCCTAATGGACCTGCAAAGCTTCAGGGCATAAGATAGGGCTGTAAATGTGAGTGGTAGGGTAGGGATGTTAGAGATAGCCAAGGAGGATAAGGCAATTGGTTTCTGCACAAAAGGGTGCTGATGATACTGCTTTGAAAATTCCTACGTATATTTTTTATTTTCTTTCCTTCTCCTTGCTATGGCTTGTGATTTCCTGTGCTTGTCAGTATTCTTGCCTTAGTAACCTTCTGTTATTCTAGTTTGATGTTGGCTGACAAATCAGAACACCAAAGGTATTCACATTGTATCTAAAATAAATGAAAATATACCTTAAGGGCATTCATAAGAATAATAAATGTTAGCTTTACTGTGTGGACTCTGCATCGTCCATTTTGGTGACCCTGAAACCCTTTGTTAGACAAAACATATAAAATGCCTACTAGTCTAGCTCCCAGCACATAGTAGGTGCGTTGTAATGTCTGTAACTATATATGTTTCCCACTCCCTATGCTCCCTTCTTTATTTTTAGTTTACTTCCTCTTTTCTTAGCTGTGTCTCATACAGTAGAGACTGCTGGATAAGTGTTTTCCAGTTAAATGAAGTGTTACTCTGACAACACTGGCACCTGCTCAAAATGTATGAGCAAACATGTACTTACAGGCTCACTGCACATACACAGAAATTTATTTACGATGTATAAATTAAATTTTAATCAGACATCAGAGAAAAGAGATGACAAAAAAATATAATAACCTTTAATTCATTGCATCCTACCTGGACACAGAATCTCACAGCTCTGGCTGTTTGGTTAATGTCACCATGAATCACCCCCTTCACAATGTGTATGCCATCGACTTGGAGACTAGCTGAGTGGTGGAGGGGTGAGTGCCAGCGGGTGCCAGACATCCACTTTCCATTTCTACTTGACCAATCAATTACACACAACCATCACGTCAAAACTATCAACAACTGCTTTTCTTTCATTATCATAACTTCTGGATTTTGAAACTTTTTTTTCTAAAATAGTAAATTCCTGTGTATTTTAATAATATTAGTAGGAAGAGATTACCTATATTTCATTAACTCAGTGACTACTAGTTCACCTAAGAATCTTAAATAAACCTCTCTATTATTGGGTAGGTTGAAGGCTCTTAGGAATCACTCAGAGTTTATTGGTTATAGAATTCAGGGTTATTTAAAGAGCTATAAATAAGAACCTGAGTAGATAGGACTGTGTTGATAATAGTACTAAATTACTTGGCTTTTGGGAAGTCATTTACTAATGTGAGAGCATTTCAGCATTATGGCCCAGATTTCTGATGAGGTATAAATGAGGGTGAGTGGAATTATAATTAATTGAACATCTCCAGGCTTAACACTGTGCTTGGCACTGCACATACATTATCTTATTTATTCCCTACTGCAATCCTCTAATGTCGGTATTTTTATGTATATGTTGACCTCAAGTCTAACAATGTCAGCCATTACCTTTTATTCTGCAAATAACAACAATTTACTAAGAGCATATGACGTGCCAGGCCCTGACCCTGGGAAATAACAGTAAAAAAAAAACAAAACCAAAAAAAACCAGACAGAAGTTTCTGCCCTCATGGGCCTACATTCCAATGGAGAAGACAGATAATGAACAAAATCATTTTTTAAAAATAGCCTAAGAGGTGGTGATAAATGCCATACAGAAAAATAAAGCAGGAAAGGAGATAGGACATTGTCAGATGGCAGGACTGGGTTGAAATTCTAAACTGAGTGACCAGGGAAGTGACTAGAAAATAACATTTGAACAAAGACCTGAAGGAGGCGGGAAGCGAGCGGCGCAGACTCACGGGGGAAGAACAGTCCAGGCGGAGTGACGAGCAAGTAAAACGTCCTCGGGTGAGAGCGCGCCTGGACACCCAAGGCGCTAAGGACGGCCAGCAAGGAGCAGGAGAATCGGGGAGAGCAGGGTGCAGGCGAGGTCAGAGATGTCACTGGGGCCAGATGGGGGCCTCAGAGGCCATGTGAAGACATGAACTTTTATTCTGAGCAAGAGGAAAGCCACTGGCCATTGTGAACAGAGCGACACGAGTTAACGTCTATGTAAAAAGCTTGCTCTGGCTGTTGTGAGGAACCTAGATTGGCAAGGGGGGGGGGCGGGAACAAATGTGAAAGCAGGGGGCCCAGTAAGGAGGGCACTGCAATAACTCAGGTGGGGGTCGGGGATGTGTGAAAAGTGATCAAACTCTGGAAACATTTTGATGGTGAGAGGGACAGAGGAGTCAAGGATAACGCCGAGGTTTTCAGCCTGAGCAACTACAATGGGGGAGGTTGAGGGCGGAGTGATTCTGGGAGGAAGATGGGGAGTCTGGGTTTGAATGCGTTAGGTGAGGATGGTCGAGCCGGCAGTTCAACATATAAGCTTGAGGTTCGGGGAGACATCTGGACTGAAATGTACATCTGAAAAATGTGTGAAACCAGCACAAGTCACACACACCACTCTGAGATGTCCCTTGCGGAGTTATTTCAAGGAATGCTTTGGATACTGGTGACCTTCCCATCAATCAGAATCAAAGGAAAAGGGAACCAACATTGTTGAACGATGTCACGGATTCTGAGCTGTGCCTTTAAAATACATTTTTTCTCTAAATTTCCTCATGGGGTATGCAGTGTTATCTGACTGGATAAATAAGAGAACTCTGATTCACAGAGCATGAGTACCTTGCCCAACCTAACACTGTAGAAAATATTGGAGCCTAGATTTAACTCAGGCCTTCTAACGACCCAGACCTGACAGCATCTCATGCCAGGCACTTTGCTGCCAGGTCATCAGTGCCTTGGGGCTCTCTGAGGCCGGGTCCCTTTAGCAACAGAAGAAAATTATCACTGCAGTCCGCATATTTTATTTGTCTGGCTAGTTACCTTGCAGCTCACTTACCACATTCAGCAGCATGATGATACAGAAGTTGATGCACACAGCAGTGCCTGTGGTTGCAACCTGAGAGTTATTCCTGATTAACGCCCACTTGAAGGCAGCAAAAGTGCTGACGGTCACCACCCGATAAATGACGATCCCAAACACGGCGGCGATCACCACACAGATCTGGCAGGAAGACAGAGGAGACCCCGTGAGGTGAGCACTGTGCTGGAAAGTAGCGGGAAGAGGATCCCTGCCACTTGGGAAAAATCCTCTGGTGACAAAAGAAAATAAAGCGACAGTGGTACTGACTCAACAAACCACAACAAAATGCATGCTTTTCACTGTGGTTAATGCTTTCTCTTGTCTGTATTTTTTTTTTGTTATTCAAACAGAAAAACCATAGTGCTTGAAAGTTGATAAACTGTGTAAGCAATGGGGTAACATTAAGCAGAATATTAGACTAAGCGGAAGAACAAATATTTATTATGGAAAACTTGTGATGTCACTCTTCTGTTTAGAACTAGCTATTGGTTTCCTTTTACTCTTAGGATAAAGCAAAACCCTTATAGTGACCAGCAAGACTCTGCAGCCCCACCGAATGCCTTTTTCCCTTCCCTTGGGGGACTCCAGACCTTCTATCATGTTTCAAATGGGCTGAGCACCCTTTGTCTTCAAACCATTCCCTTTGCCTAAAATGCTGACCCACCCATGCCCCTGCCAAATATACACACGTGGGGAGCCTAGTTAACACCCACTCGACCTTCCCATCTCAGCTCAAGAGCCACTTCCTAATTGAAGCTTTTCATGGTTCCCCAGATTTTTGTTGTTGTTGTTGTTGTTATACGGTAACTACACTCTTCTTTCAGCATCCTACTTATCATTTCAAACAACATGTCAGAGTGAGTACTGACCGTCGCCCCCACTTAGAAAGTGAGCTCCATCAGGGCAGGGGTGGTATCCGTTTTACTCACCCTGGTTTCTGTAGCACCACAGCACCATTACAGGTGCTCAGTTATTTGTTATTGAATAGGCCAACTAGGTGACAGGTGCATAATCTCCTATTAATCAGATATAAACACAGACTGAACAGAGGCAACTTCCCCTGAAGGTTTCGTGGTACTGGAGAAGAATACAGCATGTCTTCTATCTCTATAAAATAATGGGAATCTGAGACTCTAAAAAGTTTTGTAACTTTTATTAGGTGACTCTCTTTATATGTCGGAGTAATCTTAGCCTCCTTAGTCATCAAACGCTGGATCTTGAAGTGAGGCCTCAGGATGGCCTCTGCTGGCTTACAGATTTCTGTTTTCATAGAAGCATTCCTGTTTGACACAAACTCTACTTTTGGCTGACTAGGAGTGACATGCTCTAAAAACCTGAGCATGAACCCTAGCTGGAACTGGCCAAAATATGAATATGAATAATAATAATATGAAA